TGTGTCGCGATTAAAACTAATGGCAAACAAAAGAATTTTATTTTTTTAATAAATAAGCCGAACAGCTCAGCCATAAAATTGATCCGAAATTTAATTGTTATTTTTTATAGATACGAACGCACGTGTGTGTGTGTGTGTGTGTGTGTGTGTGTGTGTGTGTGTGTGTGTGTGTGTGTGTGTGTGTGTGTGTGTGATAATATAACATATTGTGTGTGCATATTAACATAATCAATTATTTCTATTAATGTCATTAAGATGTGTATATTAACATGATTAATTAATTTTTATCAATAAGGAGCTTCTCATATTGTCAATGCAAAGGATGCTCCAATTGGCAAATTTCCGTACCAAGTGTCATTGAATTTCAATGACAATCACATGTGTGGTGGATCTATTCTTGATAAATATAACATATTAACCGCAGCATATTGCGTTAAAAAGTAAGTTAAATATTTTGAATTTGTAACAATATATATTTAGCAGAATTTAATTTTAAAACTAGTCTTTTAATATTTTAATCAGTAAAGTATTCTTTATCATTAATTATAATCATAAAATGCATCATTATATATTTGACATTTTTTTTAGAATATAAATCATTCTTAAAATAAAAATATGAATTTTTATTTTAAGAGTGATTTATGATTAATATCTTACATTATTTCTGTTAATATTCTACTTACAAAATTTATAGCAAACATTTTCGACATCTGTTTTCACCTTTAAATATCCGAGTATTATGTATGCATTTTTTATTCTTAGATTGAATCAACATATATATCTGTCTTATCTAAAAGTCCATGCCGGTACAAACTTTTTGGATGTACCAGGAGCAGTTTATGATGTAGAAGATGTAAGCTTCAACTCTCAATATGATGAGGAATCAATCGATAATGATGTCGCTTTGATTCACCTAAAAAATCCTATCACGTACAACAGATTAGTGCAACCGATAAATCTTGTGACATCCGATAAAGAACTCGAGGGCAAGCCGTGTACATTATCTGGTTGGGGAACTACTTCGGTAATATTGAACTCATGATACAGAAATTTTTCAGTTATACATATCTAAGAATCAGACATTTTCTTTTAGAAAAATTAATTATTTTTTCTTTATACGTTAATAACACTTTAAAAATAGTGAGTAAGAAGATATTTTGATAATAATAATTCACTTATTAATTGTCACATAAAAATTATTTATCAATGTAACAATGCAATCTTTTTTAGGTTAATGGAAGTATTTCAAAAAACTTGCAAGAAATTGAGTTAACAGTTTATCCACAAGAAGATTGCAAGATAGCACAACCGAAAGTGAAAGATAGCCATATCTGCACTGTAACTAAAGCAGGAGAAGAAGCATGCTACGTAAACCATTGACTATTAATATATAAAACAAATCGATACATATATTTTTGATAACAATAAAATAATAAATAATGTTAAATATTAATTATATTATTATAGTCTAAAAATTATAATATTGAGTTTAATCGTCTTTTCTTTATATGATTACACTTTTATCTTAACTCTAAAATGATTATAATTTTCATTTGCAAATAAGTAAACAACTTTTTACTATATAAATATTTTTATTATTAATTGCATCTTTATTCCAGGGTGATTTTGGTGGACCATTGATGGCTAATGGAGTTCAAATTGGAATAGTTTCCTTTAATCCTTGTGTGCTTGGAACTCCAGTCGTTTACACAAGAGTTTCCAGTTTCATATCTTGGATCAGTACACATTTGAAAAAATAAAAAATGTTATTTAATTTATAAAACAATATTTTATGTAAGTACTTCTAAAAGTAGAAGAATTAGAAATGAATTATATATTGTAATTCAATAGATTTGTACAATGTTTACTGTGAAAAAACTTTAAAATCTTTAAAATTTTGTCTAACTTCATTTCAATTTGCGGAATTTATTCCACAAATATTACATATATTCAATCATAGAACATTTAACAATTTTAACTTATTTATTATAATTTAATATTATTTGATTTATAATTTAATTAATAATATAATA